GTGTGTGAATGGGTGGATGACTGGTTGTGTAAAGCACTTTGGGGTCCTTAGGGACTAGTAAAGCGCTATACAAATACAGGCCATTTACCATGTTCTCCTTTATAGTGGACAGAAGTTTTTGGAGTGGCACAAATAATTTGTGCGGCATGGTATTGAATGTAGAACAGCTGATTGTTCTGTAAATAGTTTGAAATGGTTATAAAAATAAAAGGGTAAAAGGTAAATGGCTGCAAATAACTTTGTTGTTTGCAAAACTTGTGCATAGGATTTTAAAATTGACAATTTATATTTGCATTTAATCAAAAGTAGTTAAAAATGGCCAATTATACCCTGGACCCCAAAGGGTTAAATGGTTTTTTTTTTTTTAAAGTAACGCAATAGTTACTTTTCAAGTAACTAATTACTTTTAGAATCTTGTAACTCAGTTACTTTTTTGAAGTAGTAACTAGTAACCATAATTAATTACTTTTTCAAAGTAACTTGCCCAACACTGGTGGTGAGGCACATGATCAATAGCAGGTAACCAACCCTCTTAAGGTACAACTCCCACTAAGGATTACAGGTTTTAGAACTGAAGAAGCTTCTTGGATGAGAGGTGAAAGGTCTTCACGACACTTAAAGTCTGGTCGCTTTCTCTCTAAGCTCCTTAGAAGACAACAATACTCTATCCTCTAACTCTAAACATGTGCACCAACCCATTCTTAGGTTTGTTGATTTGAAAGAATTGATCAAATATATCTTTTTTAAAACCACCAGCACTGAAGAAATCTTAAAGAAATCCTAGTATTAGTATTTTAGTTATTTTTTTTTTAAACTGTAGAGTATTGTTTAGATCACAACTATTTGTTTCTTACAGGTGATGTGATGCTGTGGCCTTTGAAATCTTCCTTCAGTTCCACGTCAGATCTGTAAGCGTATGGAGGCTCAGCACACCTGGACACGAACAGCAGACACAGCCATTTTTAAACACTCCTGCTTCATAGTTTATATCTCGGCTGTAGTCACAAACAACTTTAAATAATACATATGCAACAAGTTGGTGTATTTGAGGATTAGAAAGGAAATTACTTGCTGTTGGCGGATTCTCGTTTGGCTTGTTCACATAATTCTTCTGCAGAAAAAGAAAAGAAGTTCTGATTGTAACATGCTGCACTTAAAAGTGCAATGATTAATTTGGAATGTTAAGCCCTTTCTTGATTCAGCAAAACTAAATGTTAACAAACACTGTGGGGAAACTGGCTTATTGGGCATAGAATAGACCAGAACATCAAGTTTTATTTCTTGCTAAATATAATAAAATTACACTTTCTGTAGATATAAATTCTTTCTTACTGTAGCTGATGGAATACGCTTGAAGGTTGTACGCCATCTGTATTTTGTCGGTGATGAAATCATGATGGATCTTGACATTGAGGATGCCGTAGTCTGCTCCTTGTGTGTTTGGGCCATTACTCAGGTCAGTGCAGCAGGAATCCTGCAGGCTTGCAGGTGAGCACAGAATAAGCTTCTTGTTTCTTACCTGAACATGAAAATAGAAATAAAACAAAAAAAAATGTAATTCTCATAATAATCTTGAACAAATTAGCTAGTTTAGCATAAACAGTGTAAAAAAAATTCCATGTACATTTAAAGTTTTGCTATATGCTTTTTTAAAATTCTGTGGCGTTATGACTCTTTTACATTTCATTCACCTGTAATTTTGTTAGTTTAGTTTCTTGCTATTGATTATAATATACAGGTTGCAAATGGCAGCTGACTTTGTCTTATTTACCGTCAGCATTAACTGGTCCAGCAGTGGCTCCCAGTCCAGACAGAAGTTGATGTCCTCCCCTGACTCAAGTCCAAGGTGCTTGAAGGTAATCACTTCAGATCTCCTACACTGGGCTGTGATCTGCCCGTTGATGGACAGAAAGCTCTCATTGGCTGAAATGGAGATTCCTTTACAGCCAGTAGAGATGTTGAGGTTCAGGCTCAGGGGGTTGTTGCCATGGTGCCATGTGCCACAAAAGTTCCAGTCCAGGTCATTGTCACTGGAAACTGTTAAAATACAGCACACAGTATTAAAAAAAAATTCAACTTATGTTGCAGTGGTGTGATCTCTGGGTTTGGGCCAGGTGGAAGAAATCACACTGCTGAACTGTTTGTTCTTTAGTGATGCTGGGGACCTGCAGTGGAGCGTGGATCCAACTGGAAAGCTGGCCATGGAGAAATCAAAGGTGCTGAGCTGGAAGCATTGTGTGTGCCATAACCTTAAATACTAACATTACAATACGAACTAAATAGCGGTTACACAGAGAAAGTTAGTAAATGCTCCTGTCTATTTTTTTTATGTTTCTAAGTGAATATTCCTACACACAGCAGCATACAACAACATATAATGTATGACGCAGCACAGCATGAATACAGCACACATGTATGAACAAACTATTACAAAGTGTGGTTCCTGTGTGGTGATCTTACCAGTGGAGAGGATGATTAAGAAGCGCACTATGTTCTCCATCAGCCAGGGTTCTGTTGCTCACACCTGTTCTGTAGAAATGAAAAAAGTGAAACAGTTTTTACACAAACCTATAATTCTTTATTTACTATGCAAGGTGGTATACGCCACCATTAAAAATAAGCAAAACAAATTAAAAAAATAACCAAACAGAAATAGCTTGAAGACATTTATCTAAGCTCCCACTGCGGAACTAACAAATACTGCATCTGTGGCCATGCAGAGTTGGGGTGCGAATGCATAGCAGTGTGAACATGTGGTAAGAAATAGAGGAACGGAAGACAGAAAACTTGTTGAACCACAGACAAAACAAACAGGTGACTAAAAAGACCTCTGGGGGTCTGAATATTTAAATAATACAGAGCGACGAGCACCAGTTCATTTACTGAGCTACCTTACATTTCTGACAATTCAGCACTTTAGCAGGTGGTTTAAGATTATCTTCATGTCTGCTTCTATTTATAAGTCATGGTCTCCATTCTCAGGTCTCTCTTGTCTTCCCCCTTAGTCCCAACCAATCAAGGTAGATGGCTAACACCTCCCTTCCCAATGCCTCTGTGCTTGATTCTGCAGGTCTCTTATTGTAGAAAATAGTTCTTCATCCCCACAGTGGACGTCTGAGATGTATGATTACTTTGATTTTCTCTCTAATATTGTAGGGGGTTTACCTTACAATAAAAAAACAATAAAAAGTAAACCGTATCACAATCTATGATATCAATTTCCTATCTATATGCAATTGATATATTTATATAACAATAACACTTACAATCAGAACTGTATCACACTGGTGATGCTCACCACTATTTTTCTTCTGTGAGCAATGAGCTAATTCTGCCTCTGTAATTGCTGTTATAAAGAGTATGTCTCATAAGTTCAGAGAAATCTGTAAAACAACAACAACAAAAAATCCTGTATTCTATTACAAAAGACTCTAAAGTCTAGATGTGTAACTGAGAGTGCTAACTGATGTGCTTGTGTGGTGGGAGTTTACCACCCTAGGGCTTACAGACATCTGTGCTTTTGATTAGAACAATTCATAATCTGGTGTATTTTTGGAAAGGTTATCAAGAAACCATTGGAAGGAGTTTACCCACATCAGCAGAATGATCTGTAGATCTCTACTCTGGAGCATATCCAAGAGCTCTGTTGGGGGAGCAGGGTCTGAAATTTTTCAGCTGCTTCTAACTTCTTTGTTTCTATGGTCAGTATTAGTAGTAAATAGATTATTAGCAGTGTTGGGCAAGTTACTTTGAAAAAGTAATTTTAAAAAAGTAATTAATTTTAGATACTAGTTACTTCTTCAAAAAAGTAACTGAGTTACAAGATTCTAAAAGTAATTAATTACTTGAAAAGTAACTATTGCGGTACTTTAAAAAAAATGTTTAACCCTCTGGGGTCCAGGGTATAATTGGCCATTTTTAGCCACTTTTGATTTTACCTCTACATTTGACCTTTAAAAACTGTTTATTTGCCTTGTTTGGTATCATTCTTTTCAGCACAACATCACGTTTCTAAATTTACAGTTATGTTTTCATTTTGACATACTGTATTAACACAATTTATCTAAAATCATAAAAAACATAAAAATCCGAGTAGAAAAAGTAATATTTTTTACTGTAACAATCACAAACACGTTTATTGAATCATATTTCATAACTTTAAATGCAAATATAAATTGTCAAGTTTAAAATCATATGCACAAGTTTTGCAAACAACAAAGTTATTTGCAGCTATTTACCTTTTACCCTTTTTTTATAACCATTTCAAACTATTTATATAACAATCAGGTGTTCTGCATTCAATATGTACTTACCCCTCTCTCCCTTTTTCTGCTGTCTTTCTCTCTCTCTCGGTCACTCCTAAAACTTCCCCCCCTTCCTAAACAACCAAATGTCATGTTGCCATATAATTTTTTGATTGGTCAACATGGTACATTTTTCCACCGACACAAACGGGCGTTTTTTGTTTTGAATGGTGTTTATTTGCTACCGCTGTCCTTAGACGTTAAATGTGATGAAACTATTGAGGAAAAAATGCAGCATATATATTGTTTATTATCTACGTCATGGTTTTATGTGGCCTATCAACACAATTTAAAAACTGGTATACAGTGGGGCAAAAAAGTATTTAGTCAGCCACCGATTGTGCAAGTTCCCCCACTTAAA